CTCGATTAAGAGTTAGTTAATAAATGTTGGCTAATAGACCTCCCTTTCCTTCATTCTCTTGGTGCAACGCTTAAGTGTTTCTCACAAGAAAATAGTTTATGGAGATGATACTGTGTAACAACATGGATTCACTAAATTGGTACCAGCATTCAACTGAAGTACTTCTTAAGGGAGGTCTTAGGTTCAAATAGCAGAAGAGGGAAAAGAAATCCCCAAAGGAAGTAAATTCACACATACAACATCAGGCAAACACACCATATCAAGATCACTGATCAATCACTTTAAACTTTTTTCTTCTCCGCGAGATCCAAAAAATAGAGAGGAAGATAATCATTGATCAAGAAAAAAGTGTAAAAAAAAGCAGATATGAACGACTTCTATTATGATTTCATTATCCATGTGAAACGAATCCAAAAAAGCATCATACATCTTTCTAAAGTACAAACCCACATAATCACCACAGACAATTAGGAAATATAAATAACGTCCAGCTTGAATTCTTTAACCATTGAATGTGTTGAATTCATATAGGCATAAAACAATGCTCTTCCATATATTACAAACTTCATTTTGATAAATCAAGAGCTTTGCTGAGAGTTTAGTGCTAAAATCACAGGGTACTCACATGTTTAATAACCGTGCAAAAGCTGCAATTAGAATTTCTTGAGATTTTAACAACTGTTACATAGACTACTAATTGATGACAAAGTTATTTTATTGCTATTTTATTCACGCGCTTAACAAAATAAAACAAGCTAAAAATAAGATTGAATTACTCAAATCTGTAAATGAGTATTGCATAAATAAAGACATCGAAACAACCACTAATAGGAAAAGATTAATCCACACTTCCTAGACATAAAGTCAACAGAGAAATAGTTTAACAATCTATAAAAACATTAACATAAACCACATGCTTTTTAACAGAAATCAGAAAATGAAAAATCATTACCACAATTTAGACAAAAAAAAAAAAAACTGAAATTGTTCAAGGACGTACAAAATCCTAAAAATAAAAATCCGGATTCCCAACACTCTAGAATCCAGTTGAGGTCAAACCTTCCATCACCAATCCCAATCCATACGAACTGAATATTAAATCAAATCAAACCCATAAGAAATCTAAAAATGCAAATAAGTTGCAATTTAGATATAGCACTGAAAATTATGTCATGAAACACCTCCAGTAGCCCCAAAACAAATATAGTTATAGATCGACTAAGCCAAAGTCTTGTTCTAAACTTATATGAGGCTAGCTACATAGATCCTTCTTTTATGCGTGAAGGATCATCTTCAAAGTTATCAAGACCACCTCAATCGTTAAACTACAAAGGTTTATGTCTTTCTAGTTATCTCACTCCATCATTTTAGGTCAGCCTCTCCTTTTAGGTTTACCATTATTCCTGTTACTATATGCAACCAGCAAATAACGGGTTCTTTGAAAGTGCTCAAACAATTTAAAACCTAATTGGATAGCTGTATTAATGGTGAAAACAATTTAATAAATGTGAATACTTGTTGGAGGCTTTTCTTATATTTTTGTTGAAATATGTCAACAAAAATAGTTGCAGGCTTGCAAGTAATGGTAACTTTTAATGTGAGTCATCTCTTTTTCCATCTTGTATTTTGAGAGCTTTCAATTTTTGCAGGCTTGCAAGTTTCTCGATACTCAATGGTACCCCAAGTTCACAGTTGTTGTAGCACAAAAGAATTACCACACCAAATTTTTCCAAGCCAATTCTCNACAAAAAAAAAAAGCTGAAATTGTTCAAGGATGTACAAAATCCTAAAAATAAAAATCAGGATTCCCAACACTCTAGAATCCAGTCGAGGTCAAACCTTCCATCACCAATCCCAATCCATACGAACTGAATATTAAATCAAATCAAACCCATAAGAAATCTAAAAATGCAAATAAGTTGCAATTTAGATATTGCACTGAAAATTATGTCATGAAACACCTCCAGTAGCCCCAAAACAAATATAGTTATAGATCGACTAAGCCAAAGTCTTGTTCTAAACTTATATGAGGCTACCTACATAGATCCTTCTTTTATGCGTGAAGGATCATCTTCAAAGTTATCAGGACCACCTCAAACGTTAAACTACAAAGGTTTATGTCCTTCTAGTTATCTCACTCCATCATTTTAGGTCAGCCTCTCCTTTTAGGTTTACCATTATTCCTGTTACTATATGCAAACAGAAAATAACGGGTTCTTTGAAAGTGCTCAAACAATTTAAAACCTAATTGGATAGTTGTATTAATGGTAAAAACAATTTAATAAATGTGAATACTTGTTGGAGGCTTTTCTTATATTTTTGTTGAAATATGTCAACAAAAATGGTTGCAGGCTTGCAAGTAATGGTAACTTTTAATGTGAGTCATCTCTTTTTCCATCTTGTATTTTGAGAGCTTTCAATTTTTGCAGGCTTGCAAGTTTCTCGATACTCAATGGTACCCCAAGTTCACAGTTGTTGTAGCACAAAAGAATTACCACACCAAATTTTTCCAAGCCAATTCTCTAGACAATGTCCCACCTGGTAATTCATTATCATTATTCACCAAAAATGGTTACATTTACTTCATTAAACTTATCTGATATTTTTAATGTGCATGGACTCTGATTTTACTACAACAAAAAAATAATTTCGATTTTTCAGGGAAATGAAAAAATCAGTAAACTATCTACTTTTCGAGTGTGGTGAGAAATTGATGCCAATCAACAGATGGACGCCTACGGGGGAGAGACGATGCAGATACTGCCCACCCTCTGAACTGGTCTTCCTTGTAAAGACCACTATTGGAAGAGACGCAGATTAACAGAGCTGCGTTGCCTACGGAAAGCGAAGGATTGGTCTTGGCGATATGAGGGATTGGTGTTGGCGATTAGAGATGAGGAATTGCAGACAATGGCGATTCGATCGCGAGAGAGGGGCTGGAATTTAGGGCTCATGGTCGTTGAGAGGGAGTGAAGAGAGTGGTGTTACGGTGATCGAAATGGGTTGGTGGCGGGTTATGGATTGGGGCGGGTAATTGAAATGGGTCGGTGACAGGTTATGGATTGGGTCTTGTTTGTGGGTTGTTGGGTTTGAATTGAAATGGCCCCTTTTCGCAACATTTGTTGAGTATTGCGAAAAGTGTCACGCAACATTTGTTGAGTGTTGTGAAAAATGAGACTTGTTCAAACGTTGCCAAAAGTCACTTTTCGCAACGTTTGTTCAAACGTTGCGAAAAGTGAGACTTTTCGCGACACTCAATAAAGACTTTTCACAACACTCAGAAAATGTTGCGAAAAGGGGTCTATTGCAACATTTTTCTGAAAAACGTTGCTAAAATGTTGCTAAAATTCATTTATATTTTATACTAATTAATGACAACATTCACTTCCTAAAATGTTGTCAAAAGATCATTTTAGCAACATTTATCAACAAATGTTGCCTTTTTAATGTTGTGAATAACTCTTTTTGTTGTAATGGAAAAACTTTGATGTATATAATTATTACACGTTTGATTCAATCAATCAAAATTTTCAACATAAAATAGTAGAAGAAATATATGCAATATAAGTTCAAATATCATCTTCAAAATATGTCTCTCTTTTATGAGTAATAGAAATAAGTTAAGTACTAAAAGAGAGCTGAAAGCATTTGATGAAGATGATAATTAAAAAGTTTGAATCAATCAAAAAATTTTGATATAAAGAAATAAATACAATGAATGCAATTGTAAGCTTAAAGAAATATCTCAAAAGATATCTTACTTTGATGCTCCTAAAGGATATTTTATTGAATGTAAAAAGTAGAGATATTTATAGTGTACAAAGCGTCAAAAAAATTGGGAGTTCGGATAACTCGTTATGTCGGCCGCCTCTTGTTCAGATGACCAATATAACAGTTTGTATAGTAAAAATTAGATATCAGAATGATCAAATTTTGGACCATTGAAAACTTTCAGTCGACCGCCTATTTTGGCTTGTTGACAGCCTCTTCTGGTCAGTCGACCGCCTGATAGTTCGGTCTTTTTACATTTTGGCCTTATTTGTTCCGATTCGAAGGTTTCGAAAGGTATGGACTTTTGGAAAGTATTTTTAACTAATTTTTCAAGTCTCAATATCATTTTTAAAAATCATTTTTATATTTTTTCAAATCATTACATTAGAATGACTTTTAATGCACAAAATTGTTTTTAATGCATAGAAAGATTTACACTTTATCTAAAAAAATCAAGTCATTGATCTTATTTCAAAATTTGGCTCTTAAGTTCTTATATGTATGACTTCGATCTTGACTTCCTTCATGAGTCCAATTTATGATGATAACTTTTGATCTTTTGACTACCATCGATCAATTTTCTATCACATGATTTGAAAAACTATAATCACTTAAATTCAACTTGTTAAGAAAAAAATTAACTTGTTTGTAATAATCAAAATTTTAAGATTATAATCAACCATATATCAACATATTTGAGTTACTTCTCTGAATAAAGATGACATCTTGAAATAAAGAAATCTCAAATCTTGATATGATGTCAAAGCCTATTAAATTCAAACGAGCAATTTTGTTTTTCCAAAGCTTAGACGGACCACCATCTCAGGAGGCATTATGTTTTTAAATTTTACTAAGCTCTGATTTTGTGAGGCCTAAAATCTTGATAAAAATTTAAATCAAACTAACAAAAATATTAACCATGTGTTTCATGAAATTCATAACTTTCAATTATACATTTCATTATTTTTTTTTATCAAAAGTTAATAAAAAGCTAATTTCTCACTGCACCAAACATGGTCTAAACTTAATCAATCAATTGTCGTGGAACAAAGAAAAGATAATCGAGGTTGTGATCCCAAAGTAGTACACATAGAGTCTCGAGTTTGTGGTCAAAACGAATGGCAAAATCCAAATGGGGCATCCACATATGGATGCTAATAGTCCAATGTTTAAGTGATTGGATATGCCAATAAACATTTTAGACATACGTTTTCCATCCACACGTGATCTTGCAATAGTGGATAATAACTTCAAGATTTTAACGGTTTTTATAATGTCATCAATTCATCAAGTCGCGTCATGAATAGAGTCAAGTTGGAAATTCAGTATTTCTTACACCAATCGTTTAAAAAAAAAACCATTTTTATCAATTTGGTTATCTACTTAAACTAACACGATCGTAGACGTTATATCCACGTCATGAGCTAGAACCGAGTTGGAAGTCAAGATGGAGTAAAAAGTTGATATAAAGTTTAAAAGAGTCGAGACTTGAACTACAAAATGAGTGAGGTAAGAGTATACGAGCTCATAAAGCTCACCTGGGCGAACCTTCATCGTGATGCTAAACCCACACCTCAACATCCATTGCTAGGTTGATTTGTAAAGATTTTGTTATTAAGAAATTTGAATCGAAGTAATCACCATCCCAATAAATAAATGTGTTCGGATGACACGATATGTCAAATAAACCAACCAATCACTATTGTTTACAAACCAACCAACCAATTGAAATTTAGGAAAGGTTTCCGAGCAATTTTTCACGAGTGAATAATTCTTGAAAAAATGAAATATATTTGAGCAACAGTTTTAACCTACCGCATTCAACCCCAAAGTGAAGATTGGCTGCTCAAGAAAAGATATTCAAAGACCTTTTCTTCTCCTCGTATTATAATGGAGTCCATAGTCCACAAAATTCCACTACTGGGTTCCTCGTCAAAGTTGAATTCAACCCTCAAATCAATCAAATGATACAAATTTTATTAATAAAGCTACAGAATCGTTGAAAATTCAACGAAAACCAGTAATCACTTGAACCAGTTTAATTTTCTATAAGGAATAGTTCTCCACGAAACGTTGAAAGTCAAGTCATCTCTTTCTTTTCTTCATCTCACTCTGCCATAGTAAAGACAAATTTTGACGATTGAAAGTTTGATCTACTCTCTATATATAGTTTTTCTATTTGCGTTTATATTTCTCTCTACAAGAATCTTGTATCCAAGTTACCTCTTCTTTTATGGGCTGTGTTCGAATTGTCCAATTGTCGTTCAAGAATCACCATTGATATCCACGAGGTTGGTTTCTGTTTACTTATTTTATATCAATTTGACGTTTACAATTTCAATTTTTCTGGGATTTTTTGAGAATTGAGTTCATTTCCTTATGGATGTTTCTGGATGAATACGATTTTGAATTGATTGCGAATTGGGGTATTGAAAGATTATTGTTGTTGTTAGGGTTTGCTGGTCTGGATTTGGGGTTGAAGATTTTGTAGAACTGAAGGGTTCTGAGGAAAAGATTTACATAGTTGATCTCAGGCGAGAAGAAGATAAAACAAGGATTTTGATTGTTTCGAAGTGAAATATTCAGATTATACTAAGTGATGGATGGATCAAATGGTGGTTCTAATGCTCCCGCGCCTTTTCTGGTGAAGACTTATGAGATGGTAGACGATCCTTTGACGAATCCTGTTGTTTCTTGGAGCCATACTGGGCATAGTTTCGTTGTGTGGAATCCACCAGAGTTTGCTCGAGATTTGTTGCCTAAGTATTTCAAGCACAATAATTTCTCCAGCTTCATTAGGCAACTCAATACATATGTAAGCCCTTTGCTTAGTGCTATTTCTTGATCTCAATCTTTATGTTTTATGCCTTTACTGTGGTTTATGTGCGTGTTTATCTGCTTCTCAGAATGTTGGAGTTCGTTATAGATTGATCACTACTTACATATTGAACTTATGGATTTTGTATTGACATACCATGAACATCGATAAAACATAATGGCAAAAGATTGATATAGTTAACTGATGTAGTAGTTAATGCTTAGATTAAATAGTTGAAGAGTGGAGGATTAACATTTTGCTTACATAACATCTGTCTTTGCTTTCTAGTCTAAATTTAGTTTTTAATTTGGTTCTTGTGAGATCTTTTTGCTTAAATTTCCTTACTTTTTTGCAGGGTTTTCGAAAGGTTGATCCCGATCAATGGGAGTTTGCAAATGAAGAATTTCTTCGCGGACAGAGACATCTTTTAAAGAATATACACCGGCGTAAGCCCATACACAGCCATTCCGGTCAAGGAAATGGAGTTCCATTAACTGATGTAGAAAGAGAGGATCTAGAAAAGGAGATTGACAAGCTAAAACACGAGAAGGTTCTGCTTGAGTCAGAGGTTGAGAGGCGTGTACAGGAGAATCGGGGATACGAATATGAAATTAGGTCATTAGGTCAGAAGTTGCAAAATATTGATGACAGGCAGCGGCAGTTAATGACAACCTTGGCCCAAATGTTGCAAAAACCTAGATATGTCTCGGATATCATGGAACAGTTGGAGTCAAATAACAAAAAGAGAAGGTTATTAGCTTTGAATTATTTGCAAGATGAAGCCACCCGAGGAGAGAGCCAAATTATGACTTTCCGAGCAGATAATCCAAGAACTCTAACTCTTCCATTGTTAAACTCGGAATTAGTTGACAAGTTGGATTCATCGCTGAACTTTTGGGAAAAGTTTGTTAATGAGATTGATCTAACTCCGTCTGAAAAATTGCAAGATTTGAGTGTGCTCCCACTGCCTTCACCAGTCACTATTACAGAAATGCCTGTATCGTCTGGAGAGTCGGATTTAATTGGTCAAGCTTGCTCACCGAACTGTAATATATCCTCATCGCCTTCAAGAGATCTCCATTCTTCCCCTGAGCTGGCTGCATGTTCGACACATGTTGACAGCCCTGCAATATCATCTGTTTGCATCGACCTAGATTCCCGGCCCAAACCATCGGGAATTGATGTGAATGTGAGCCCAGCTAATGCTCATGATATTGATATTTCAAAAGATCTTAAACAAGATGGAATGGTTCCTTCTCTGTCGGCTGGGCCTAATGATGTCTTTTGGCAACAGTTTCTTGTGGAGGCTCCCGGTTCGTCCGAGACTCAAGAAGTGCAATCGGAAAGAAGAGATTTAGATGATAGGCGGGATCCTAGCGTGCCGTTAGATGCCCGCAGAACTTGGTGGAACTTTGAGAAGCTTATCCCACAGATGGGGCATTTTGCTTGAGTTGAGAGGACCTGATTTTGCAATAAAATCTCGTTGGCTGGCCAGAGGTAATGACTCTATGAAGGTTCTATGTTGTAATGGTATATATAATAGATGGACGTGTTTTTTGGTCTTGAATTTACTTATATTTCTAGTTTTCTTGTACATTTTCTTTTGTATCTTCACGATAGCAGATAAAACTTTTTTGTTATGTAAAGACTTTTTAAGTGACTTACCAATTTTATTTCTCTATATTGAAAGTGTCTCTTCCATTGACGTGATGAAATGTGGCGCCAACGTGCCACGGCATTTGTGTAAATTGGAAAGGAGTGAATGAGAAATGATTTAAATGAATACAAAATTAGGTTACACAATTTAATGAGCAATCTCCAAAATTGGCCACTAATCTTTGAGATGGTCGGCTTTTGCCACAACTTTAAAAAACGTCTTCTATGACTCACAATGAATTTGAATTTAGTTAAAATTTGGATTTAATTTTATTAACAACAAATTCATTTTGTGTTTCGTTGTAAAATTCAAATATTATGATGAAAATAATGTAAAATTCTACAAAAATAAATTAAAATTAAATTTAACTACTGTGAAGTTGAGTAATTATTCATAGTGTTATAGACAATGCCCTGCAAAGAAAGTAATGGCTAATTGCAATGAAACACACAATATATTTATTGTTAAAATTAAGTTAAATATGAATTTTAACAACGAAATTTAGCCACTTTTTGATGGGCATTAATTTAAAAATAGAAGTTTTAAATAGTTATTTTTTGGACGATGTTTGGTTAAAAAAATTGGAATTTTTTTTGAGTTTATGTGTAAAATATTTTATTATATAATTGTGTGGTTAAAAATAAATATGAAAGAGTTTCATTTTAAAGGAAGATAAATGAAGACTTGTGTGGTGGAAAAGTTTGACACCCATTTTTTGAAGATAAAAAATTTTTAGAATAGTGATTGATGGAAAAATGTGTGGTGGAAAAGTTATGAAAATTTTTAGATTTACGTGTAATATTATTTTATTGAAAGAATGTGCGGTTGAAATGAAAAAGGAGAAAAAAATGAGAATGAGATAGAGATAAAGAATGAGTGCCAAATATGAGCTAATTAAATCCAAATTTATAGCGAGCAATAGAATACGATTTTCAAAGTTTAGTGGCTGAATATTAGAAGACATTTTTCAAAGTTTAATGGTCGAAAATCGGCCATCTCAAAGTTTAATGGTGTGATGGGGCTGTCAGCGACGTTACCAATTTCATTAGAGGTTTGAGAGGAAAGTTATATCAATGAGTAACGTACAACGTTGTCTAAAGTTCAGTGGCCAAAATTCGATATTTTAAATTTAGGGCCCGCTTGATTCTCATTATTGTAGAATGAGATTGAAAAATATAATCGTTATTGGGCCTCACACAAGAGATAAAAAATCAAAATTGATGACTTGATATGATGGATAACCATCATATTTTAGCTCGAGAGACGAGTCGTACAAATAAGTTCCGCGACTATTGGAACAGTTAACTCGTAATATTGCCCTGAAGCGGTGAACACATTTAAACAGTAATGTGCCATTATGGTGTAAACATGAAGTTATTGTTCCTTAGACTTGAATCAAACAATTCGTTATCAAAAATCATTGACAACCTAACCGTCGACAGTAATTCTCCTAGACCAAACAATTCCTTCCCTATTGTACGTATCGAGGAAATACAGATCCGATCGAATCATAAATCACGCAAACTCCGAAAGAGAGAACTCAAAAACCCAGGTCAAGTTTGCTGTTTATTTTCTTCAAATCTATTAATTGATTCAGGTATGTTTGTGCTGATGTTTTTTGATTCATAGTTAATTATTCTTGCCAGTGTAAGTTTCCCTCTTCTTTCTTTTCTGAAAAATGTTTTAGTTATTGTTTGATTGGCCACTTTTTCCTAGGAAATTGGAAATTAAATTCCCACTTCCCCACATTTGGGTGTTTGATTGCCAAAATTCCACCCCCAATTATTTTCCCACTTCCCACCCCATGCGCCTCAATTCCCCAAAATGGTTGAAAACATTTTGGTGGGAAAATGCAATTCCACGCTCTGTCTGTGTTTTTTTTTTCTTTTTTTCTGGGCAATGGAAACAAATTTGATAACCAATTGTAAAAAAAAATTTTCACTTTAATTGACAATTTTCGTGTAAAACAAAACCAAACGAATATTAAATTTTGATTAAAAAAATGATTTTTCAGGGAAAAAATTTTTTTGGTTTTTTTTTTTTTTAACTTTTTGGTAATAGAAACAAATTTTATAACCAATTGTAAAAAAAATTATCACTTTAATGGACAATTTTTATGTAAAACAAAATCAAACGAATAAAAAATTTAAAAATTTTCCTTGTGGAAAATTATACCAATCAAACACACTTAATTAACAATTCCCTGGAAAATAATTTTTAGGCAATTACTTTCCCTGTAATTCATTTTCTTTCCACCCATTTTCCACCCTTGCAATCAAACAGACCATTAGAGTATGTTATATTCTGTATTGTATTTGAAAAATGGTGTCTTTCATAGTATAGTTCTTGATCAAGCACATATTTTTACCTTAGTTTCGTTCTAGTTTTTACTAATTGAATGTGGATGTTTGGGTTATCTTTTGTTGGAAAAATCTGATTACACTCTTTGGTGTTTTCTGTATTGATTAGCTTTCTGGGTTTTAGTAATTTAAATTTGGATTTTTGGGTTTTCTTTTGTTAGAAAAATCTGATTGAACTCTTTGGTGTTTCCTGTATTGACTTAATTTGCAATACAGAAAATTTTGGAATATGCGGTCCAGCTTAAATTTTTCTTTTTGTTTTCAGGTTTAATACTTGAACTTAATCAACTCTGAGCTCAGAGAGCTTTCCAGTATTTTGCTTTTCCAAAACCACTGGAGAAATTACTATGTGCCTCGGCTATTATTTGGTTTAGATTTCAGGTTTTAAATGGCCTGGACTGAATTTTGTGATGCTAACGGCAATGATAGAGACTGGTTCTAATACTGAAAATGTTAAGGAAAGTGACAATATAACTATTGAAGATAAGAGGTCATTAATTAGGCGGGATCCCTCATTCTCCAGCTGGGGTGAAGAGAATGGGAACTTACAGCCAACTCTATTAGAAAATCAGGATTTGAACTCAGAGGACTTCAATTTTGAACAGACTTTGGTACAATGGAGTGGGTTAGAAAATGCAAATTTAGGGGGAGAGAGACACCATTCTAGTAAGCTTCAGTTAAGGATGGATCGTAGTAGTGATGTGGACGATGCATCCACTAATGATGTGAGAAACAGGAAAGAGAATTATGAGCCCTTTGGTGTTGAAAATAGTTTAAAAAATGATCAGAGATATTCCGGTATTGGGGCAAATGGCTATGATCATATGGATTATCATGATACATTGAGGTCAAATTCGAAGAACTCTATTTCTGTTGCTGATATGCTGAAAACTTTGTTTTTTATACTCATGTGGTACACATTCAGTACATTCTTGACACTGTAAGTTCTTCCTCTAGATTAGGCAGTTGTTTTATAGTCATACGAATTAGTACTTTAAGATTATGTTATTTATTTATCTTTTCCAAATGGAGCAGGTATAATAAAACTCTATTAGGGGATCATCTAGGGAAATTCCCTGCTCCCTTACTGATGAATACTGTCCACTTTACAATGCAAGCTGTTTTGTCAAAGGCCATTACTTGGTTTTGGTCTGAAAGATTTCAACCCTCTTGTATGTCATGGAGGGATTACGTTGTAAGAGGTAACAGAAAAATCACTACCTTCAAAATATTGATCCAAATTTGGATTCTTTAGAGCCAGCATACAGTGTTCTCATATCCCCTAATTGTGTTTAATAAATTATTTATGTTATGTTCTCTGTAATGTCCCTGCATATAACGGTTTTCATAGGTTATATTTTCTTTAAATCCTCATCTCCTTAAGAAAATGCTGAATAAATTAAGTCAAAAATTGAAAATAACGTTTAAACTGATTGCTTGCTGACTGTTTGATAGTGGTTCACTTTTCTATAATTTCACTTGGCCACTGGAAAGTAAGGTCTAGAAGGATTTCCCATTTGGCATATAATTGAACTTTTCTTTGTGCATAATGAATTCAGAACCTCAAATTAATGTCAGAGCAATGTCCGAATGAGTTCTTGTGTCATACTTTTGTGCGATTCTACATGGTTTAAGGATTTTAGTGCCTCCTTATAACTTTTGGCCTAACTTTCTATTTCTCAACGTAGATTCACATTAATCAGGTACAAAGTATTTGACTGATTATTGGATGCAAATTACTTTCACCTTCCCCTAAAGAAGAGCACCTTGAATGGGAAACTGCAGCGTAAGAGTGTTTTTAACTGCTCGTTTTGTCTGGTAGCTCACAAGCCCTTCAATGCTTTTCTAGAAATCTTAAGCAAATTTAGTTAGTAGAATTTTTATATATCTTTTGATCTACTTTGTAACATAAATGTTCATAGTTTCCCTTGTCAAGTTAATTTGATTTAGAGATCGAAAGACTTATCTGATTATCAAATGGGAACTTGGCTTCATTTTTGAGTCAAGTTGGAGCTAAAATTTTGCTAGATATTTGGTAGATCTTTCATTTATGCGATGGAATTTTTTCCTTCAATTGCTCAAGGTTTTTTATTTTGCTGCATCTGCTGTCGCTCAAGTGTTTTATGCTTGTCCAATAAATGTATACAACACTTAGAAAAAACTATATTTTCTTGTTATCACTTCTCTCTCAATAAGAAACGATCCAGCCACAACTTTTTATGCCCTGTTATTAGTTCGATTGTTGAGCACTATATAAGTGAACAATATATTTAGGACATGTTTGGTAGGGCTTCAACTTCTTGTAGAAGAGCTCCTTGAGGAAGCTACCTTAATTAGTGTTTTGAAACTCATTTCTAAAAGAGCTTTCTATTCCGGAGAGCTTTTAGAGAAAGCCACGTTGGATCAGCTTCCTCAATAAAGTTCTTTTAACTAGAAGAAAGACTTATAAAATTAACCAAATAGGTCCAAGGTTTCAAAAGCCATGTCAAATGGGTCCTTACGGTGTTTGTAGAGAGTACAAATCCTTGCTTTCTAACTGATGAAAGGTGTAGAGAGGTTTAAGGTGAATTCCTGCGTCTTATACTTCATCTTGAATTACATCCTTGCTTTCATGTTAAAATTTTGCTATTATCATTAACTTCTCTAACGACTAATGCGACATATGGCCTTTGCCTTTCACAGTTGTACCGACGGCTCTCAGTACTGCAATGGATATTAATCTGAGCAATGCATCCCTTGTTTTCATCTCTGTTACTTTTGCCACTATGGTTGGTCATCTTTCCTCCCCATCTTTCACCATGATAATCACTGATGGATTAAGTTGCTTCATATTGGAACTGGACAATGGTGTTTAAGCATTGATTCTGTATGGTCTTGATTCGACTTTCTTCACGTGTATATGTAATAATGTAACATAGGGAAGCAATAAATCAGTATAGCGAAGACAAAAATAATATGGAAGAATGAAGAGAAGCTGAAATATTGAAGAGGAGAATTAAGCTTATATGCAAAAGAGACTTGAGAGAGCTAAGAAATGTAGTGTTTTACTGAAAACTGTTGTTACGTAGGTCATAGATGATGCAAGAGTACTTAGAGCAAGTCTTATGACCTGTTTGTCTCTGAAAACTTTTGTTACATAGATGATGCAAGAGTACTTATAGCACGTCTTATGACCTGTTTGTCTCAGGTGGCTAAAAGACAAACCATATTCTAAAAGAACCACTTCACTTTGACATGTCTTATTTCATAGCAAGTCATAAACCTGTTAATCTTAGGTGGCAAAAAGGCAACCACATTCTGAATGAACCACATCACCATGGATACGTCTTAATTCATAAGACAATAAAACTGTACAAATGGCTTTCAGATTTAAAAAAAAAAAAAGAAGAAGAAGCTACCTCTGCACATGCTGAATCAATAATAAAACCAAAAGTAAACTGCGTCAGTATGTTTTCCTCGTTTTTTTTTTCATTCATACACTTACTACATCTAATTATATTTGTTCTCTCTTTATATTGCAACTGGGTAGCAGAACTCTGAGTCCATTTAAGAGCTTATAAACATTGTTGGGCTTAATCTTTGAAGACAGATGGTCTACTATAGAATTTTTTTTCTGTACCTGTAATTTGTCCTTTGAAGCATATTATTTATCCATGCCTATCTTGTTTTTGCAGTGTAAATCAGCAGCACCAATATTTCTTCTTATTTTCGCCTTTGCATTCAGGTAATTGTTTTATTTTTAAAAACCTCAAGTATATATTTTAAGATCATTTGTTGGACTCAAACGTATCTTTTAACTGATCTTTTTCTATATCGATTGTTGTAGACTTTTACTTTCTTGGAAGACTCTTGTTTACGAATAAGAAATAATCCATTGTTTATTTGTGTAATTAGAAGTCAGTTACGTTTTGGTCTTGTGTTATGTGGAAGACCAAATTGTGATACATAAATCCTTTTAAATTTGATAAAAAAGATTTTTGTGCTGTATCAAAATTAAAAGAGAATATGCCCTTTGTGTAAAATCACAACTTCTCGCATAAATTTGTTGAAAGAATAATACCTGCCACATTTTAGAAGTTTTGTGGACCTTTCATCCTGAAATTCATCACAGTGTGGATACATAAGAAGTTTCAGTTTTAGGCAACATGACAAGTCTCTGGTAGTTGTACTGTGTTTTATTTTTGGGGAAATGTACATGTCATCCATCTTCTCAATTTTTCTGAGTTAATATGGCTTTTAACCTAAACTACCTTTTTATGAAGATTGGAGTCTCCAAGTGTTAAGCTGCTCGGCATCATGTTAGTCATCTCTGTTGGTATATTATTGACCGGTATGCAATTGTATTATATGTATTACATGCTTTTAATTAGTTTTATATAGAGTTTAATTTCCGTCTGTCTTAATTATGATGAACATTTTTTTATTTTAACAAACTTAAAAATTATTTTACTCATGCCTCGTATGCTTTTTTCAATATATTTTTGCTTTAACTCTGATCTTCTTTGTCTATAATTCAGTTGCAAAGGAGACCGAATTTGAGTTTTGGGGTTTTATCTTCGTTATGCTTGCTGCTGTTATGTCCGGTTTTCGCTGGACAATGACTCAGATCCTTCTTCAGGTAAAGACCAGATGCTCATATATGCAGTTTTGGTTTTTAAACTTGTTTTAATTCTTATCATTATTTTGAATTCTCATGGTACGTGTGCTCACTATATCTTTGTGGTCTTGGCACCATTGATTGATTTGCTGATCTCTAAACCGGCATGAAGAAAGAAGTATATGGTAAGCATAAGTAGTATTTACTCTTTTTAACCTAAAAAAAATTCTTCAAATCTTACAACCATTAAATTGTCTGTATTCACAACTATATATGTTAGCTTGAGCTTATTTGCTTCACATCTTTAAATTTAAATTTTATGTAGTTTAATGTAGCTCTTTTAGAAATGTAGTGTTTATGTTTGTTAGAATTATGATCTCTTCTTGGTTTCTGCTCTATCAGAGGTTGTTTCTTAAATATCCAAAGGATCAAATACCATTTATGGTGTGTTTGATAGATATTATTGAGGAAAGAATGTATTTTAAATAGTGATATGATTAGAAATATGTGGTTAAAAAGTGCGGAAAAGTTATTGATACGATGAAAAATATTATTTTATTGAAAAATGTGTGGTTGAAAATAAGTTTTGAAAGAAGTTAAACAGAGGCTTAATTACCTATACCTTTGCAAACTTGTGCATATATAGCTACTTAATATACATCTCCAAACCATCCAGACCAGCTTTCCGGCAATTTATGTGCAGTATGCACTATGTTAAATAATTTACAAATAAACTCTTTTCTAATTCTAGCTCTTCTTGTTTTTACGACAAATCCATCTTAACACTCATTCTCTTCTCAACTATAATTTACACATTTATTACTTAGTAGCCATATAGTTAATTCCACATGGTATTGCTATTGTTTTAGACTTTAATCCTGTAGAAATCCTCTGATCAAGAAATAACTTAGGCACAGGTCCTATTAATTCAACTAGCTTTAATCCTAAGTGACATTATCTCAAATTTCTCTCCCCTATGAAGTGTTAAGCCTGTGTAACAAAGTTGTTCACACATTGGTATTTTATGATCTCAATAATTTAGTGCCTTAGATATTTTATGATCCATACATTCAATCTAACTCCGACCAAAATTTTCCCTTTTGTTTGGAGATGTACCCTTCTCAACCATAATATAGAAATGATTCCTCACATGTCCTTAGTCAATCTATTCATAATTAAAGCAAATAGATATTGACTTAGAGCTGAATCTTGATGCAACCTTACAGTAGGCAGAAACTTGGTTTTCTGGCATTTATCCTTGCTGTGGTTGGCACCATTTATTTGTTTATAAATCTTTTGTGACATCAACTTAAACGTAAATGCATTCTGGTGGAAGATGGATCATTAATTTGTATTCTTTTTTTTAAAATTTCTTTTCAATGAAAGGTTTATATATTATTTGAAATGATTTTCAAATATTATGAATAAGTTGAAATATTCTACTTCAATGTATTGGATATTGAGGCTCAATATTTTATTCATACATTTAACAAAAGTATGTCCTTAGAAGATTCCCATTGACCTGAATATTATGTTTGAGACTGTTAATAGAATATGAAAAAAATCTCCTTTTGACTAACTTCCACAAGATTTTAACTGAACATGGGTACCTTTCTGACAAGTTGTTAGCTGGATATGTGTGCTTATGATAAATTTCCAAAGGTCAAGAAAATATTTTTATGCTTAACACACATCCTGCAAGGTAGCAAATGACACAGTACGATATGGGTGGAATCTCATTTAGGACTAAACTAAGTGCTATACTTATAGCAACTATGGGTTGAAGCCATCTTGACAATCTGCGGAAGTCACATTGTATAACTAAGTGCTACAATCGTGTGTTCAGCTTGGTGGGGACCAACTCTGGAGTTCTATGCTGTGTTTTTATCATTTTATAGCATGGGTTTCATGATACAATATGGCTTGAAGATCAATTCGATACTTCTAGGAAAATTTATTTATTCGGTCCGAATGTTAATTTAATGAAAATCATGTGCAATTTTTATTTTTTATTTTCCTTTGATCTGTTTAAGAGTAACATGTTTTGTTTGGACAAACATAAGTGTTTTACACTGTCAAAGGGCAAAACAAGGACACTGTGCACACAATATGTGAGTTGGATAGATTCTATCGGCCAACCATTACTATTTATGAAATTGTAGTTGATAAATTTGAATTGAAAATATGATGTCTGTTTGCAAAGTGATTCTTACCTAGTTATATTTGTTTAGTTGTAATGTAAGAGTCTTCCACATCAATTTACAGGTTGTTGTATCCACATCTATATTCTAAGATGGAGGGTGGAGAAACAAATATTGATAGAAATAGAAGCATCTCTCTCTGAATTGGGACATCTGGAGGATGGAGTTGGACTGTGGTAGAATGTTTGCATGTAAAGGCTACCGAAGCCATGACAGCTGACATATTTTTGATGCACAAAAGCTTTGATTGTCTATGATGAAAATGTTCATCTTTTAGGACTTAGTTCGAATAATCACCTGCTTTGCCTGGCGAAATTTAGCTAATAGGGATGCTTACTTACCTATATTGCTATATTGCCTTGATTTGATGTAGTAGTTATATGTGGACTGAAGAGCTTAATTAAGATCTTTCATTTCAGCAGCAGTATTTTATCTATGAGATCTCTTTGACACTGATGCTCGATTATATACAACCTACTTTGTACATGTCTATATTTATGACACACTTGTCTTTTTTCTGTTTCCAGGTCTCAAAAATCCACTCACTTTAATGAGCTATGTGACCCCAATAATGGCGATTGCAACTGCTCTACTTTCTCTTATATTGGATCCATGGCAAGAATTCAGAACGAGCAATTATTTTGACAGCTCATGGCATATTGCAAGAAGTTGTTTGCTGATGTTGTTTGGTGGCACTTTGGCTTTTTTCATGGTAGGAGTCTAGATCTCAGTTTTATGTGATGAAGTTCAATTTTTATATGTAAACAGAAGGATGGGATATTGCAATGAATGTCACTTGTCAGATGTTAAGAAATTTCAAATTACTAGCATTTTCCACTTTTCTGTTCTCTATGCTCTATGTATTTTTCTTCTTTGAGAAATGCTTCACTTCTTGGTCTTGTTGCAGGTATTAACAGAATACATTCTGGTATCAGTAACTAGTGCGGTAACGGATTGATATCGTCCCCAACAGTTCCTAGCTGTGACCATCTTGGTATAATAACAGATATTTTATATTACTGTTCCCCGAATTTTATAAATATACCATATTGTGCTGATAACTGTTAGTTCAAAACTTTGTGCTTACCTTCAGTGTATTAAATTCACATCTGTTTTGCATTAGCTGTAGATAACACTGTGATTGTTATATTTTTTTAGGATTTTCCTATTTGCAAGAGTTTGACGGATTTTAGGTGATAATTGATATTCTCCTTACCTTTTTTTTCCAGTCCTTTGGATCAGTTGTACACTTGCAATTAATTAGTCTTTTTAACTACTCACCACGCTCATGATTGAATGACCCATTTTAAAGATGTCTGTTTAAATTTGGGGTTCCATCTTAAAAGGTCAACCTTTTTAAGAGGAGTAGTCCAAAATCTTTATTAATTGGTCTATGTCAACACCTTTATTCGATGTGGGATTATATACCTTAATAGTCGGTGCCGACAGTAACTCCTCGCCGCCACTGTTACCGGATGTTTCCGGTCATACTTCACTGCTTTATTTTTCTCTGTCCCACATCACTTAATCAATTGGGGAAAATAAAATGACTTGGGACTATAATTTGTAATAGAAAATTAAGGTTCAACTCTCCAACGTTTAATAAGCGTAGTTTTCGAATAATTAACTTTTAAAAACGAGGTTGTGGTTCCTCAATCTTTTTAAATTCATAAATCTA